ATCAAGTTTTAGAGGTCTGTCGAGACACTGTAGGTGCTGACAGCACTGGCTGCCCTCATGCATGTCTGAAAGACTTCTATTGACCAGCACTGCACGACTGGAATGAAGGGAGTGAGAGAGAGTAACTCGAGAGGTTTTTAAAAGCGGACTGGGGTATCTTTTTACATCTCTGTGGTCTTGGTGTGTAGTGTGTGGTTTTAAATCCCTGTAGATCAGGTGTCACACACATGTACCTTTGGGTTTAGGTTATGCTGGGTTGTGATACCAGCTGAACTTGGGTAATGTCATGTATATATGTGTGCGGGTGTGTGTCATGTGTTTTTTAAATGTCTGTGTTTTAAATTCTGGACTGTCAGTGCTGGTTATACAATTAAGAGAGCGCAGCTTTCCTCCATTGTTCTTTCTTTTCGGGTAAGGGCCTTATGTGCTTATTCTGGCCAAAATCTGCCCACTTAGACAGCAAGGGGCCATATGACTGACAGGTACAGTGACCAAACATGCAATATGCATTTATTATGTGACGTTTAAAAGAGGGTAAAATTGAAATTGGATATAGCCCTAAGACCCAAAGCGTAATGTATACAGTACGTGGGCTCAAGGATATCTTGTTTACTTGCCACTAAATTAATGTCCACCCCGCAATAGGATTCAGTTTTCAGTTCCGAAGCATCTCTAGAGGTCCCATAAATCATTTTTTTTAAAGCTTTGATAGGAAAGTGTCAGCTCTTAAAAAAATAAAATTAAAAAGAAAGCCAATATAGAATGATTTCTGAAGGATCATGTGACACTGAAGACTGGAGTAATTGCTGCTGAAAATTCAGCTTTGCAATCACAGAACAACAAACAACAACAACAAACAGGTATCCTTCCGATCTACCCCAAACATCTAAACAGTAGTGTACACAATTTAAATAAATAAATAAATAAAATAAAATAAAATATGATATAAAGTATAATGATATAATTCTATTATATAATTCTATAGTAATATAACATTTTATATTTAATACATTTAATGTTGTATATTTCAACATGATTAAGGTCCATTAATAATTCTACTGCTAGACTGAATGACAGGATTTACACCGCAACGTTATTTCCCAACTGGAGCTGGAACGGGACTGTAGACGTGAGGTCAGAGTTCATTTGAAGTGTTGTGATGTCTCAATGTTGCTAGCGTGGAAACAGACAGTCTTTACGGTGACTCGTAATTGCTGTGCCTCAAAGTGGCTGCTGACAACTGTGAGCGAACATCAGACAAAAATGAGAAAAATGTAATAATTCATGATCCGCTGTCCCAAGCAGTTAATGTGCTGCTCTACCTTATTTCCTCCGAGGTTTAACTGAGGGCTCTAATTACAGTCTTACACAGGAATTTTGATAGTAGCTTGTGCTTTTAGATAATGGAAACAAGGCCCCTGGGATTATAAAAGATTTCCAAAGCCCAGAACACAGACGGCCACGAGAGAGGGGTCAGTAAAAGAGCTCTTACTCACCTTCCTCTAGCTCTCATTTATCTATTTTTTTTTTCTCTTCACTTTTTCATGATCTGACTCTTTCCACAAGTATTGTGTAATTTGGCATCCTTTTGCATTAGAGGCAGAAATATATATTTTTTAATTAATTAATTAATTTAGTTTGTTTGTTATAAGTTAGAGATATTTATATGAACTATTATCTAAGAAGAAATAAATTAGCTAAATACAGTTTGGGCTTTTATTTTATTTTATTGAATTGTATTGTATTGTATGCAATGCAGTGCAGTGTTTTAGACACTGTTAAACTTTAGAGAAATTTTAGTAATGGGATTAAAAAAATAACTCATAAAATCCATAGAAAATAAAAGTGTTACAGGCCCTTTTTTTGTACCCTATTTCTGGAAAGTGCCATATCACTCTATATCCCTTCACCAATCCATCTTTCCAGTGAGTAAAAAGTGAGGAATCAATTACCTCACCAAGCAATTTATTTTCCCGATCTGATGGAGAGAATGACTGCAGTGAAGGAGAAAGCCCCCCATCCCACTTTATTTTTTCTCTTTTCTTGTTCATTTTTTTGACTTTTCCCTTGCTTAGTGTGCAAAATGTATCCATTGGTACTATATAATCATTCCTGTGAACACAAATTTATGCATACAGGAAATTATTATATGCACTGATGCACTAGGATTTCACAGACTTAGGGTCCATTTGATATGAATAATTAAGAGGAAATGAGAATCTGTCTAGAAATGTTTGGATTATAAATATGGGAAGAGATATTTTAAGAATCTATGAATTTGAACATTCATTGTAATGTTTGCATTTGAGCCTGGAGAGTTTAATAGTGTAATAGCGGAACAGGTCGGGAAAAGGTGGTGGTTCTGGGATTTGGGAGGAATGAGGAATCGGATCAGCGCTGATCCTGACTTATGCAGCTCTTCGCTGACATCCAGATGGCTCACATAGCATTTTATATTCATGTAATTGTTAATTTGTGGCTTGAGACCAGTGCTGTGAACTTCAATAGCCAGGAGAGAAAGTGATCCATATTTGACAAACTAACAATTGATATCAGTATATCAGACATGAACACAACTATTTTAATTTTATTCATTATCCCTGATAAATAAAAATCACTTAAGTGCCTATATAAATGCTTTTTATTTATTGTTATTCTTAAAGAATATAATAGAAAATGATATCAGTAATCACTACATGTAATTTATTTCACACATCAGAGAATATTTATCTGGCACAAAATCAGTGAGGATCTCAATTAGGGTGACAGTCAAATTTGAACACAAGTTTAAGTAAAATTAAAAGTAAATAAATAAATTTATCACTGAATTTAAAGCATGGATGAACAGCAGAGTATTATATTATATTATATTATTATTAATTATGGCTTTTTACTAGAATAACTACTATTTCTACTTTATTTTAGTTTGGTTTAGTTTGGTTTTATACTTTATTTTGTACTTTATTTTGTACTTAATTTTTTTATTATATACAGTTTTTACTTTATACTTTAATTTAATTTAAAATATTTTTTATTTTGGTTGTTTTGTTTTGTTTTATACTTTATTTTATACTTTATTTTTATTTTATATATTTTTTACTTTATACTTGAACTTAATTTAATGTAATATATTTTTTTATTTTGCTTTATATTTATATTTTATATTTTATTTTCCACTTTATTTTTATTATATATATATATATATATATATATATATATATGTATATATATATAAAACGTCATAGTTTATTTATTACAAAAAAAAAATATATATATATTTTTTATTTATTTTTTTGCTTGTCACCCCAATAAAATTATAGTGTGTTACTAGAAAAGCTACTCTGTTTTAAATGTATAAATAACCAGTACTGTATCATAACACTCCAGTGCATCAGGGACGTCGATAGTGACCCAGATTCTAATGAAACTGAATGGAGACGTTGTAACAGAAGCCTGACCTTTAGAGGACATGGAAGAATTTCCTCATTCTTGCTTTTTTATGCTCATGCACATTTTTGGTTCCTAAACAGAGTTATGTCTGATTTGGTTTCCCAGTGCATCATCTTTCAAAATGTTGCTTAAATTGATGTTTTGGGGAGGCAGTTACATTAGAGGCTGGCGACATCCGTTTGCTGGGAAACCAGATTGCAAATGATGTGTGAATGATTATGACAAACTGCCGAGAAACAGAAAATATGCTCGTAAACAGAATATTTACGGTTTAGAGTGAAATATGGAGGAGAGAAAAGGAGATCTGAGAGGATAGCAGAGGAGAGGGACAAGATGAGGAGAGGAAAGGAAAGGAGAGAGGTGAGGAAAGTGAGCGTAACAGCCGCTGAGTCAGCCAGTCTGGGGTCAGATCCTGAGCAACCGTGTGTAAGTAAAGAGAATGACAGAGAGAATGATTTAAATCTGGGAAGCTTTCTGAGGTGGAGTGTGTGTCCAGACCACAAACTTGGCTGAGACAGACTGAGGAGACAAATAGCATATAGGAAACATATACAGCAATGCACAGCTTAGAAATGCCCATTGCGACAGACAATGTGTTTGTTGTTTGTTCGTTTAGTGGTTGTAAATTCCATTTACAACTTCCAGTCGGCATCTTCAAATGCAAAACATAAAACATTGGATGTGCCACAATTTAAACCTCGCTGCTGATTTCTGTCTCTCTCTTTTTTTCCTGAGGGTGTTGTGGGTTAGTAGTTAATCATCTGAGACTGGTAACTGAAATTAATATAAAATAAAATCCAGATGATCCATGATCTTTTTTTATTTTTTTTAAAGAAAGCATTAATTGCAACAGAACTTTTTTGTGTGTTGCTGAAGAAGTAATATGTTTGTTTATTTAATAATTGAAAAATAATATAAAAATAATATACATATTTTTTTAAATATTGTTTTATTTTAATAACCAATCATGACTAAAACATTATTCTATTCTATTCTATTCATCCAGATTATAGAACAACCTTTGGGGTGTGATTTGAGCGGAATAGGCAAAAATTATGATACCATTTTCAGATTTCATTGCTGATTTGATGTACTTAATGATATTGAAACGTAAGCTTGGCAAACTGTTCTCTTTCCTTATTCTATCTATCTATCTATCTATCTATCTATCTATCTATCTATCTGTCTCTGTCTCTGTCTCTCTACGTCTCTACGTCACTACGTTTTGGGCAAGAGAGCACTGAGAAAGTTGTGCTGCCTCTGGAGCGGATTCTTAGATCAGTAAACTTCATCACGCACTATCACCACACCATGTAACTCAATACTCCCCCAGAGAGAGACTTACACAAAAATGATGATTGAAGGAAAAGCCTGTCTTTAAAACAGACAGTCCTCTATAAATGATATAGATCGAGCGGTTGCCACATATAAAGATCACACGCCTTAAATTAGCCGTCCTCATAGCACACTGTAGTAAAACTGCAGCCAATCACCCGCTTTCAACCACAAATACAGAGCAGGCATTGCAAGCCTGTTTCGACTGCACTGATTGGAGTGTTTTTGAAGCAGCCACCAACGATCTGGACGAGCTCACGGAATCTGTAACATCATATATCAGTTTCTGTGAAGACATGTGCAACCCTACCAGGACTCATTTAACATTCAATAATGATAAGCCATGGTTTACAGCAAAACTTCGTCATCTTCGTCAGGCCAAAGAGGACGCCTACAAAAGGGGGGACAGAGTCTTGTACAATCAGGCCAGAAACACACTGAATAAGGAGATTAGAGTGGCCAAGAGGAACTACGCTAAAAAGCTAGAACACCAGTTTTCTGCGAATGAGCCTGCATCAGTGTGGATTCTGATTCTGATTCTGATACACAGTCCGTCTGTTACTCAAGGCCAGGCGCTTACAGCTCTTCCACTGAGACTACATCCACATGAGATAAAGCACTGTTCAGACCCGTCTAATCACACCCCAAATGTTTCACACACTGGCATTTCACAGATATTACAAGGACAGACAGGTGCACACATACTCGCCAGACAAGAGCAAACCTCTGCTTTCAACAGTAGGTAATTGAGTAACAGTTGACCAGTGGAATGACCCACTGTGTTTAGTGTCACAGATCAGGGTGTCGCTGAGGTCAGTTCTGCCCCTCTCTCTCACACACGCATGCTTAATGCTTATTTTCACATGCTTTCGATTCTTATTAAAGATCTGTGTTTTCGTTTAAGACTCTGGCTTTCGCTGTAATGTGGTGTTATAGGACACTGATGGCCATTATTCTAGATGAATACTTGTTAAATATTGTTTCATCCCAAGGAGCAGAAAAAATTGTTCTGGAAATATCGTCATTATTAATGTATTATTATGGATACTAAAGAACAAGTTGCAGTGTAAGTAATTGCTACACCAAAAGCCTTATAGTGGTGAACTGAGACAAATTGAAGACAAACTAATATGCTCGTCTTCAACCAGTTCTTGTTGGATTAGTGAACCATTAAACCTTACCATTAAAAAAAAAAAAATATATATATACACACATACACACACACACACACACACGCGCGCGCACACACACACACACACACACACATTACATGACACTTTGGATGATTGACAGGTGAGTTAATTGTAGTAGAAGTCACCTCTCAATCATCCACTGTGCTAAAAAAGGATTTTCAGAAAAGATCAGCATTTACACTACAGATGTGTTTTTGACCACCTCTGACTGTTGATAAAATGACCAAATCTCAAAATATTCTGGACTCTGTTTACAGGAGGAGGAGATCGGGAGAAGGCCATTGGGTTCATTCTGGGCTGCAGACATTTAGTTTTTTTACCATCAGAACATCTGTCATGTTTTAGAGAGAAGACTTTGCGGATTTATTGAATTTTTATTAACTTATAAAATAAGCCAAGCCTTACAGGAAAAAATTCCAAGACTTTCCGAATGGAAAATAATTTGATACTGGGCATAGGGAAACTTCCGGAGAGTAATTCCATCCATGCATAAAGAAGCTCATGTAACTGCCTGAATCTCAGATTTTCAGGATATTATAAGAGTTTCTTTATGCTTGAATCCGATTTTTTTTTTAAATATGCAGAACTGCAGCTGATTTCTAACCTCAATTACATATAACTGACTAGGATTAAGAAATTACACGTGGACCAGGATAAAATGCATGACGGTTCAAGGATAACCACTGTGTGTTTGAGATCTTGGTCCAAAATCCACCGCTGAGTTTATTTACGGGGAAACGGTGGTTCCCATGCTGTTCGTCAAAAAGGAGGATAGAAAATATTTACAATAGAGGGTAAATCAATAAACTACACAGAATACAACAAAATCAAAACACAAATATTTTCCCAGCACTCCACACGTTTGGCCGATACTCATAATGCCTCATTCCCTTTAGGCTCAAAGGCTTCTAAAAGTAAAAGAAAGACACCAATTCAGTTTGTTATTATTCATTAAAGCTGATATTTAACACATGTCAGTGTTTAATAATGTTTGTACAAGCTATTAAGTATATTAAATGTACTGATATCAGATATCTTAAATATACTGTAGTTTAATAAATGTTTTAAATGTTCTTTTCCTTTAGCCTGGTATCGTGTCCAGGAAGACATCTGATTCTTATGGACTCTGTTTGTATGCGTGTGTGTGTGTGTGTGAGTGTGTGTGTGAGAGACAGAGGTGCTATTTGTGGATTTTGGAATAAAACTCATATCATTTTACTAACTTGTAGTGAACAGATTGATTTAAAGTCACTAAAAATGAAAATTTTAGTTTTTATTCAATAAAAAGAAGCGAAACCGTAAAGTTTGTGGAGCAGATGCAGTTAAGTTTCATTGTTGCGTCTGAACCCATTTTTGTGGTAGTCTCGTCATTTCTTTGCATTCAGTGGTAAAGGCTCATCTCAAGCCTAATACTCTCTTGCTCACAGGCATTTTTAGATTTTATTTAGGACTTAGATTTAATTATTTAGGACATTTAGTCCATATATGAACCTTTCTACAAGTGTTCCAACCAAGTTTTGCAGTTTTTTTTTTTTTTTTAAAGTCAAGTCATTTTAGCAGTTTTATACTTTTGAGGACTTTTTCATAAATTTGGACTTCGTATGTGTAGTGAAACATTGCCCTGCTAACACAGACATTCTCCATATCACCATAAAAACTGTTCATAAAATGTAAATAAGCATTTCGACTTCAAAATGTCATTTTAAATTGTCACGTTAAAATGTCACGCCACTTGCCATTTCTTTTACCAGCAATTTCTGAGTGAAAATGGTTTCTGTTCTCAGAAAAAAGGTACAAAGCTGTCACTGGGATGGTACACTAAGGTACAAAAGCTAAAAGGTACATCTTTTGAACCTTATTTAGCCCTAAATGGTGCATAATTGTACCTTAAAGGTACATATTGGTATAAAAAGTGTACCTATTAGTAACGTTTGAATGTATACTGCCCCAGTGACAGTTTTGTACATTTCTGTACATCTTACAGTATTTCTTTCAGTGTATTTATCATGCAGGGTTGCACCTTGTTATTCATTCAGGAAGTAAAGCGAGTGTCGGAGCGAAGACTGTCTGACCTCCAACTTCACGTCCGAGCTCCCAGAGCAATGACAAATGATGCAGGAGATAAGGATTTATTAATGCCACATAAAATTGTCATTATTAAAGGTGACTGATAGGAGAGGGCAGAAACTGAGGGTAATCATTTGGATCGTTGTAGTCAGGTCTGCTTTGACTAATGGACTGGTGACGTCTGCTGGAGCTTTTAGTGGGATGAAACGGCATTGATTAAATGTGCGTGTGAGAACGAGGAAGAGATAGAGGTGAAGGAGGTGTAGATATAAAAGCAAATGCAAATTGAGAACCTGTGTTACAGCAATAGTCTCTAATGAGATAAACTGGATTATACACAGACACACGTTTGTTTTTCCATCATGGTAGGGACTTTCCAATGTGATCAGTTACTGTCTCTACTTTTCCATTAGAGTTTCATTTATCACAGAGACAAACACACTTACGTCATCCGTTCTGTCTTCCTGAAGGGACATAACATAACCCTCTCTCATCTGTCTCTCTGTCTTTCAGGTGGATAAGGTATGTGGGCACTCTTCAAATGTGTCTTCAACCACAGTCAGAACGTTTCCTCCAACTTCAGTCACACCGCCACCTGCCAACAGCTCACCGGACGTTCCAGGAGCCGATAAGATCGGCATGTTGGCTCACCTTTACAGGTTAGGCTGGATCCTCTGTTCTGTCACCAAAACTCATTTATTGAAAAATCAATTTTTACAGCTCTGTGATACTTCAAAGTCTTGAGGTAGAGTTTTTTGTAACCTGAAGATCTGCCTTTAAATGATAAATTAGGGATGCACCAGTATTTAAATTAATTGGCCAATCCCGATAATTGATATGACAACCAATATTATAAATGTACTGGTAGTTGACAGGTTATAGTTAATCTAAAACTATTTTAAATATTTTTAATTTTAATAAATTTAATTAATTTATAATCATGTATTTCATTCTAATAATTTTACACACACACACATACACACACACGCGTTTACTTAGCTATCTAAATGGGGACATTCCATAGGCGTAATGGTTTTTTATACTGTACAAACTGTATATTCTATCACCCTACACCAACTTAAACCTACCCCTTACAGGAAACTTTCTGCATTTAAAAAAAAACTTTGTTTATTTTTATACCAGTTTTACAAATGAGGACTGGTTTTTGGAGATTTTTGAAGATTTTCTCAGGTTTAGCTCACTTTTGGGTACAAATTTGTCCCCAAATTATGGTTAAGTAGGTACACACACACACACACACAATAAAAATGCATTGAAATTTATATTAAATGTACCTTTGTATATCATATCATATTTTATTTTATGTATTATTTATTTTCATTTGTGTATTCCTTTATGTGTTTATTTTTAATCCTGCTATTAATTGTTGACATATCATGGTCAAACTATTGGCCAACATCCCATATTCTGTATTTTTTAAGGGTTCATTACAAAACATTAAAATGTGTCCATCTATTTTACTATATAATACACTTTTGTAATCTGGCATAGAAAGCGTTATGACATGTACATAAAAACTAACCTCTGTTATCTGTTTAAAACGTTTTAATCAGACCTATTCCAATAATAAAAGCACTAATACCGAACGATGTGGCTATGACTACCGATAGATTGTGCATCTGTATTAAAAACTCCTCTGCATGTGATTCCTTGCTGTCTGAAATAAGAAACATGTCATAAAGTGTGTAAATATACATGCAGGTACACACACTTTGGTCAAACCGACACATTTACCCATTTGGCAAGTGTCTCAAAAGACCCTGATTATGCTATTGGACATTGTGTCTTCAGACCCAGATCTTGAAGGCCCTCACACACGCTGCAGATAGCCATCACTAAGTGGTAGGCTGGCAAGGACAGTGCTGTAACTGGCACTGAGACTGTTGCCTGCAGGAACACAGAGAGATAAATGGATTAGAGGTTTTTTTTCCGGTGTGCAGGAGTCGGTGGAGCAGAGGACAGCAAACACTCATCACTATACGGATGACATCATCTCTCTGCACTAAAAGTCTTCGGAAATGCTCTGTCAAGCAAGCCAGGAAATTTATAAATTAAAAATGTACAATTATTTTCAAAGAATAGCTAGAGTGATCATCATTATTACGATCAGAGGTCAGAACACAATGCTATACATAGTTAAATGGTTTAATGGACTGCTAAGCTGTCTGTTACATCCATGTTGAATCTCCATCGACATGAATAATAGAGCTCAACAGTAAGGTTCTGGAAGTAAAAATTCTTAGTTCATAGTTCATTTCATGGATAAATTTGAACTAAAGACATTAGTAATGTTTTTTGAAGCATTAAAGCAACACTAAACACAGAATGATTCGATTACATCATATTTAAATGTAAAATACATCTCTTTTAGTCTAATTTTCAAATACTTTTTGTTGTGATCTCGGTTTGGTCAGTTTGATCTCAGTACTTCCTGAATCCGCCTGGTTGAGTTTCATTGCTAGTGTGATGTAACCCATCTTCCAGGTCTGGTTTGCATGTGCATGAATGATTTTCATGATTTTTCTTTCCCTCTCACCATCATCCCCTCCCCCTGTTTTGTTGCCCTTTGGTTTCTTCCATCTCTCTGTCCTCCAAACTGCTTGCCTCATCCTCCTTTGGACTGTTCCATTGTCTTGTACTGGGGGATTGGACCATTATCAGTTCACTCCCTCTGAAAACCTCCAAGAGTGATAGAGGTAGAACTCTGAAAAAAGTTGCACGGTAAGCATGAATATATTTACTAAAAAAATTGCGTTTATTTCTGATAATCTTACTTAAAATTTGAATATCTGTGTGTGCTTTCCTTGGGTAATATAGATTATCTCTGCCTCTTTTTACCCACTTACTACCTTACCAGTTAGGGTGTTTTCACACTAGTGCTATTGGTGCTGATTGAGCCCTTTTGTCATTAGAGTTTGGTTTGTTTGGTTGCTGTGAAAGCTGAAAAGTTGTACCCAAGTATGACTATGGTTCATGTGGTTTCCCATCTGATTCACATTTGGTATGAATGCAGTCTGGCCTAATTTTTGCATGTGAACCACTAATGTTAACACATAATTTGTTCGATATTGACTCTGGATGTTATTTAGAAACTGAAAACTGAATGTTTTTTTTTAGAAATGTGGTCTGATGGGTGAGGGATCGAATCGAACTTGGGTTCAGATCAAGCAATAAACCAAAGTGTGAAAACCGTAATTATAATTTCACAATTACAAAAACAGTAATAGTAATTGTAATTTCAGGTTGCATGATTGGTTCCTTACTAAGCATGTGACCTGTAACTACCCACCTCCTTGCAGTTGTCTCTGTAAAGGTCATCCTTGAAATATACTTGTTTGGACAGACAATTTTTCATCTCCGTCTCTCCACCAAATCCATCTGATAGAGGGACAATATGCACACACTTTTTTAATTAACACATATATATATATATATTAATTAAATGTAATTAATTTTTTTTATTTAATTTTATTTTATAGCCTCAAATAGCCTCAAAATACGTTCCTAAAGCTGTTGTTAACAATGGGGTCTCTGGATTTATCGTTCAAAACATTTTAAAACTTTTATGTCTCACAATATTACTTATTATCTGAATGTCTTGTTTATTTATTGATTTGTGTTGTAGGGAGTTTACGGGGTGTATCTCCCGGTATAAGTCTTTCTTCTCCATACTTCCGGAGACGTTGTGCGAGGGAGAGATGGGCATCGACGAGCTCACGTGTTGGAGTGGAGATGACGTAGTCAAAAGGTGAGCCATTCAGTGTGGACAGATCAATTACTTCTCACTAGAAACTGGTTTTGAGGTTAGGACAAAGTGTGAGATGGACTGTGTATGTGCTAGTGCACAACACAACATTTACTTCTAAAACTAATTATGTTTTTCTTGACTCTGCTTAGAAAAAAAAACATCCTAAATTTATTTGTATAGGTCTTAGCTGGTCTCCCTAAGCCTGGTCATGCTGGTCTACTGGCTGGTTTTAAGGCATCTTTACATAGCCGGTTTAAGGCTACTCTGTGACTGCTCAAAATTCAGCATAAATACACAATGCCACATAAAAGCCAGACTAAACTATGTCTGCCCTGACCCACGTCAGCCCTTGTAAGTTGTAATTTAAGTGTAAATGCATGTGTGCCACCCCTGAAAAGCATTAAACTGAAAAGTCTGTGTTGTAAAGACTCCTAAATGCCACTTCAGAAGCACTTTTGGGCACTTTTCAGACTGACCAAGCTGCAGACCAGCTTAGGTTAGTTTAAGTGTTTTTTTCAGCAGGGTAAACCCAATGCAAACCTGAAGTTATACAGTCAGAGGTTTGCCAGCTCCCATCTGGCTTAGGTCTGGTATGTGTATGTGGGCTCTCAAGAACAAAGAAACACATCATTGCAAATAATCACTCAAGAAATTACAGATGGAAAAGCCAAACGCACCCACAGAGCTCCTCCATTAATGAGAAATTACCTTTGGGTCACACCAACTGACTCCTAATAGATTTATAACAAATCTGTTGCTCCTCAGAGAGAAGTGTTTACTTTGAGAATGGATGTCTGGCTCTAATTTCATGCCTCAAAAGATAACTCACCCTAACGAACAGTGACAAACGGCTTAACCGATGTAAGGTAACACAGAGGATTGCTGTAGCATTAACAGCCAGGAGACATTGAAGTTGCCAAGTTTTGTTTTCTTTGTTGTTTCCCCTTTCTTTCTCTCTCGTGCTCTCTCTCTCGCTCTCTCTCCCTCTCTCTCTCTCCAAATTCTCAGAGTGATTTGGGGTTGTTGAATAGTGCCAAGGCTGTTTTGTGGTGTTTGTGGCCCAATGAAATTCTCTTTCTCTCATATCTATCACTCTCTCGTTCTCAGAGAGGTTACGCTGCAAACGGCGATCTGTCTTTCATTTCCCTGCTGGCTTCACTTCTTAAGCACCATCAGCAGAACATGCAATTATGACAATGTTCTCTCTCTTTCTCTCCCTCACTCGCACTCATTCCTTCCCCCATACCCAAATGTGGTTGCCCTGCCTCCCATCAATCTCTATAGCAACCAGCCAAATCCTGGCCATCAACAATGCAGCGCAAAAGATAAACAGATAGAAATAATCTATATATGGCTTTCCTCCATATTAATGCCTTTATTAAAAGTACTGGTGGTACCATAGTGTTAGATGGTAATGCAATGCTACTTTGATATTTAGTATACTATGGTACTGAATGATTTGTGTACTCTTGGTCAAAAGCTTTATAGAACATGCTGTATTTTTTAAGCTTGTGCTTTCCATAATGTGACATTTTTTTCAAAGAAAAAATGGATTGTGGAAGGGAATTAAAAAAAAAAAACAAGTGATTATGATGATTTTTTATCAATCAATGAAGTTATTTCTGAGTTGTAGCAAATTATTACATTTTGATGTAAAATTACAAACTTTTTTTGTTTTGTAGTTGTTCTTGGACAATTATGCACTGGTGAATCATTCCCATAAGACCAGGAACTTGTATTAAAGCAAACAGGGTTGATGTAGATTTCATGTTGACTTGGAGCAGCATGTAAGGACTGTGATCTCCAGTAAAAACACACACTCTCTACTGCAGTCCAAAAAAAGAGTTGTCTTTTCTTCACCCCCGTTTCTGTCTGACATTTTTCTTCTTTCTCAATTAAGCAGTCTTTGAAATTTGGCCTAACACTCTGTGTTTCCAACAGAAGAGTCTGTCTGCCAGCAAGATGCAGAACAGAAACAATACAAGATATTTGTAACATTTTGTAGCTATTTGGAATGAATGTGAATGTCTAGACTTGTTTAGCTAGCAACCAGCTAGAAACCATGTAAAACCACTTTAAGCTAGTTTTAGCTTTTCAGCAGTTTACCTTAAGTCATCCAGGGTCTCTATGACTCGCATTGGATGCTCTTTTACATTTGGGTTGGTGTTACTCCAAGCAACTCTCTGCTGTCTTCAAGAATCTCACTTTGTTTCCTGCTAAAACTTCACCACAACTGTTGATCAGTTGGGTGGTGTGATGTAGTGGCTAAATAGCTGGGCTGGGAAACCAAAGGCTATAGGTTCAAATCACACAAGAGATAATCCATTAGCCATTGACACTGTGCCCTTTAGCACACTTTACTCAAGTAGAACTGTCCCAGTCATTTTGGATAAAAGATATGTTGCATGACAACTACTTAATGGTTTCTACAGAGCAGAACTTCCCTCTTTGCAGTGGACCTCAAACTACACCGGTGAATGGATTGATTGATAATCTCACATTCCAGTTTAGACTGAGTTTAGATTTAGATTGATCCCTTGATCTGAGATTTGATCCCTGCTGGTCTCAGAACTGTGTCCAAACTGAATAAGATTCAAGATAAGATAACTCTTCCATCTCTGTATATCAGCACTGAGTTCTGGACACAATTGTTAAAGGTAATTTTTTATAAAAAAACGTCTTTACAATATGTAGAATATACTCTATAATAATAGACCATACCATTTTTTTTACTTTGAATATGTAAATGCACACACATAATACAACATACAACATACTGTGCATACACACACACACACACACACACACACACATATATATATATATATATATATACACAACACACACACACAAGATATTTAGCCATTTTTACCAGCTGTCAATGGAAAAGGATGCATTTTGCAGGCAGGTGACAATATCACAGCTACAGTGGTTTCTATCTCATTGTTTTTTGTGTTTATGGTTGGTCAGAGTAAAAATTCTTATTAAAATGGAAGACGTGTTTAATTACTTATCACTTTTTGTGTCACACCTAGTTAGGGCATTGAGTTTTGGGTGTTTATGTATGTCCTAAAAGTGGACAGTTAAAGGGATAGTTCACCCAAAAATGATTTTTTTTCATCATTTAATAACCTTTATGTCTTTCCAAACCTGTAAGGCTTTCTCATGTGAAACACAGAAGAAGATATTATGAAAATTTCTCAGTGTTTTTGTCCATGCAGTGAAAGTCAAAGAGGACTATTGTTGTTAGACACAGGCTGGTATCTACATCACAAGTAAATTATGACAAAATGTACATTTTTTCAGGTGAACCATACCTTTAAGTTTTATTCACACTGACAGTGATTTCATCGCTAGTGATCACTACAGTCACTCTATTATTTTTTAAAATGTAAAAAGTGTTGAACTTCACTGTTTGCACTCCCATTGATAGTCGCTGCATTTTGTCACTGCTCATTTACATTAAAAAATCAGCTGAAATTAGTCACTCATGTTATGTCAAATCACCAAAACTTTTTGAAACAAACTGCTGTCAGTGTGAAACAGCGGTAGTCAGAGAGAAGTAGCTAGTAGACATGAATAAATAGACAAGATTCAAAGACTGGATAGCAATGCAGTGACCACCTCTGAAGGTGAGGTGAATGCAGGGAGGTCTCTCAGGGGCCGCTGTGCTGAATCTGGGTCCCCCGCCGCCTGGAGCTGGAACAAAGGGCCTCCTGTGAGCTCTGTGTGGGAAACAGTGGAGGAGAGAATCCCAACACCCAGCCTGGGAATGTGCCCTCTAAATACATGGAGCAAAACCCATATAGAGAGAATAAATATTGCACACACATGGATGTCTCTTTCTCTGTAATTGCGTCACATTCGCTTCATCAGTCAAATCTATATACGTGAAGGTTCATGTTCATGCACAGATGACTTCAAAGCATGTCAGATGAGATGGAGATTTGATTTCTCATTTGTTTTCAGCTCTTTCATGCTAGGCTTCTGGAAATACTCAACAGTAGATATCAGACAAGAAACGGCGACAAAGCGAGCATGTGTTTGCGTGCATATGGATCTGTCCATGCGTGTCCGTTCTCTGGTAGTAGTTCTGGAGGAGTCTGGGATGTTTGGTCAGAGATTCTGAATGCCACAGATTTTTATGCCCGCACGATTAACCAGTTGTTTACCATTCACACATCTGGAAACCATTCAGTCAGCCTGATCTGCTCTCTTTCTCTCTCTCTCTCTCTCTCTCTCTCTCTCTCTCTCTCTCTCTCTCTCTCTTTGCTTCTTTTACTATGTGAGCGTGAGGGGAGGAGCAGTGATTAAGAGGGAGGCTTTACTACACCAGTGTGTCAGATACACATTCAGTCACAGCAGCAGACAGAGCATTATTATTATTATTATTTTCAGCTGTCAGTGGAGAAAGATGCAGTTTGATAGCTGGGATTTTTTGTGACAAAAGTGACAAAACCATATTACAGCTACAGTTTTCTGTGTCATTTCTGATTTTGTGTGTGGTGATAGAAATGGCTCAATTTGCCATTTATTTACTTTTGACGTTATTTTAATTCCAATAAACACAATATATGATGGGGAATTTCCATTGTTTTCAGATTTTTATTTTATTTTATTTTATTTTATTCTCTCTCTCTTTGCTTCCTTCTTTCCTCGTACTCAGTATCTCAGTTTCTTGTTCTGTCTCTTCCTCTGTGTGTGGCCCTCATCCACAGATCACACCACTGAGACACATTTAAAGTCGTCTTTGGTGAGGACTGGTGTTGAAAATTCTGATTTTGTGTGTGTGGGGTGGTTGATGGAAACGCTAGAAATGGTGATGCTCAAAAATTGAAGTCCTTTCTTTAGATTAAGCCATTTATTTACTTTTGACGTTATTTTAATTCCAATAAACACAATATATGATGGGGAATTTCCATTGTTTTCAGATTTTTATTTTATTTTATTTTATTTTATTTTATTTTATTTGACTACATGGTGTATTTTGGGTTTGGGTTAGTAATTATAATTAGCTTTATTTAAAAACAATAGAAGTCTTATGTCCTCACTTGGATAACTAGTTATGTGTGTGTATATGAGTGTGTGATAAGTGGTCATATTAAATAATATAAGTCGAGCCAGCTGAGTGCACACTGGGATAGAGGACACCCAACCCATTCCCATGACCCGCACACACAAGCAAGCAGTGGTGGACGAAGTACACAAATCAAGTACTTGAGTAAAAGTACAGATACGTATAATAAAATATTACTCCAGTA